ATCACCACATTCTTTTCACCCCTTTTAACAGTATCTGCATACCTATTGACTCATTGTGATATTGGATCACTAGAAATATGAAAGGTATGCATTTTTTCAAAAAAGACAAGAGAGATGTCATATCTATTAGAAGAAGTAAAATGGTTCACGTCAGGTGCCGCACATATACTAGACTTTGCCTATGGCTATGAAGCTAAAAACAAATTAAACATAAGCCTCCATCATCTTGAACCACCCTATCAAAGGCCAAATCCCTCTGCCTGGCCATCTCCTTAATCATGTATGTTGTGCTTGCCACCGAGTTGTACTCCTGTTTAAAAATTCTGCCATCCCATTATGTCCAAATTTGCCAGGTGCTATAGAGAAACAACCCATCCAGATTCTCCCTGTTCGACCCTGGGACCTCCCTTTGGCAATGTGACCACCAATCCACTAGCTTGTCCGATGTGGGGTTGTCAGTCAGCTTGAGAGTTTGCAAGCCTGACCATGCCACCATAGCTCTCTGGATCTTCCTCGCAAAACTGCAGGAGTGGAACAGATGAACTATAGACTCCTCATTGGTGCCACACATTGGAAAAATGGGGCTCCCCATCCAACCGCGATGAAGTAGCTTTCTTGATGTAAGTAACCTGCCATGAGCTAGTAGTCAACCACGAAAATGGACCTTATTGTCATCGTCCTTCTAAACAACCCTGAAGTTGTGGTGAGCAAAATGATCCAGCAAACATCACTTTGTATGCCAACCTAGTAGCATAAACGCTGGACTCAGTCCAATGCGAGCGAACCTCATCAGAAATACCAGGGTTGAGTTGCACTTCCCTAACCTTGAGCCAAAGAGTCATGAATTCTAGTGCAACACCATCTTCGGAGAACAGAATGTACAAGGGATGGTCCGATCTTCATGGTGTAGGATCGATGAATAGATGGGGATAACTAGCTGCAAGCAGCTGAAAAATAGAAAATAAGAGATTATGACCCGACGAGTAGGATGCTAACTATAGCCTGCAATCTGAAAAACCGTTGATCCACAACCGGCAATACTACCCCACACAACCATGCTCATGTCGTGGAGCACAGGATAGGTGCAACCCGCAAGGGAGACCACAAACTCTAACCTACACAACACGATATAGTCATAGAGCATACATTAGGAGCGACTTCTCAAGGAATCACGAGAATAAGGATAATAAGATTTCTCCAATCTCAGGAGGAGTCTATGTCTTTGGTTTTTATAGCAATGGAAAAAGTTCCCAATGAAGGGAAGAGCTAGCCTATTTATAATAGGGACACCCCCCGGATAGGTGTGAAATCAAACTAGCTTAGTTGTGAAAGAGAACCAACTTTGGTGTGACTAAACGAGCTTCGAAACTTAATGAGGTAGCTTCATGAAATCTCTCATTGGAGGTGGTTCGTTGTTCCTGACCAAAAATTGTTCACTGGAGTCGGGGCAATGTTTTTTCAGCAGCAAACTAGAGTTTTGAAAATCTTTCACAAGTTGGGATATCTAAACTCGTACAAAACGTTGTTTCATCAGTGCCAAAACATAGTTTTCTCAGCAGACAACTTATTTCCTCATGAACTCGCAACTTTGTTTCTTTGTCATAAAACATTGTTTCAGCACAGGCTGAAAATTTTGTTGGCCTTCTTCGATGTTGCACCTGAGTTCAACCAACAATGAAGGAGGTGAAGGCAACCATGGTTTCAAGGTCAAATGATAACTAAGTTAGCATTCACCTGATCGTGTATTTGCTTTGCATGGCTTCTTGTGGTTGGATTGCTGATGATTGGTGGTGTGGTGTCTGTGGTTGGCATGTCCTCATCAGATTCCTGCAGCAGCATTGTCGAGTTTATTCCACAAAAGGAACTCATCCATCTGTTGTCAATCAGAGCCATTTTCCTGGTGACGTTTTCCCTAAGGGAGAGCCTGAAGATGCCAGGTGCAAGCACGACCAAAGGTTGCCGCTGCAACGAATCGGGTTGCCAAAACTTTGTTGTGGTCCCATCCCCAATCCAGATGATAGTGGATGCCATGAAGATGCCGTTGTGATTGGAAGAGTAGTGCCAACCCAAGGTTTGGACGTGTCCATCCAATCAAACTAGATCCATCAAAACCTAATGGTTGAGCCACATCCTTGATCCCAAGGCTTCCCAGCGTCTTGGTCCGACAAACTATGTGCCAATTGACTAGAGTACCAGACAGTGGCCCCCATACACTCCTTGACGCCATTCCAAATAAAGGCTCTAATGCATTTATTTATCCTCTAAATCAGTCATTTGGAAGGGATAAAGATTGTAAGGAAATACACCAGGAAAGGTATGATAATCGCATTGACGAGTGCAAGTCAACCTGCCATGTGGATCAAGCGTCCCTTCCATCTAGCCGCTCTGGAGGCTATTTTGTCGATGATGAACTGTGTGCCAGCCCTTGTTAGCCTCCTAATGTGATGAGGTAATCCTAGGTACTTAACATGGCGAAAACTTGTTGTTCAAGAATTGAGGGTCATCAACCATCACCCGAGTTGCATCTTTTGAAATGTGATTTGAAATAGACTTGAATGTTCGTTAGTCCCTTGAACCATGATGCCATTGATCACCAAAACCCACCAGGGATAAGGATTGCACTTTCAACCCCTAATCACATGGCTACTAGATGTGCATGGCCACATGAATCGCCCACTCCCCCACCTAGCCACCGTCCTCACACGATTGCCACTACCGACTCTCAACTAGGGTCCATGAAATATGAATAACATGTACAAGGCCGCATGCTTAACATTTCACTGATGGGCTTGAGACAAGCATGCACCTTGTCCTTGTTTTGTTGGACATCTCCCTCTAACAAGATTAGTGGAAACCAGAGTCCCAAGTTTCTTAGTACTGGTACTACATGCCACGTGACTAGGATATCATAATACTTCGGAGTACCCCCATTTGCTCTAGTGCATTGCATGCAAACATCTGCCACTTTGTCATGGTCTTAAAATGTATTAGGAGGCGTTTGGTAGACTGCATGGATTTTGAGGTATTTGTATCCGTGGCTGAGTTGGACATGGTTGAGTGGGTATAGGCCAAAAACCTTGCTCTACACATAGTTTGGTAGCCTGCATTGCACCACTAAGCAGTTTCATGCCTGTTGTTTGGTTGGCAACATTTCTGGATTATGGTTGTCAACGTGCAAAACATGGTGTTTGGTTGTGCGTGACCTATGTTGTGGTCACTGCTTCTCACTAATGATGACCTTATCACACACTACACTACACATGCAGTAGGAAATTAACATAGTTTCGGTCCTAGCTAGTAAAAAAATGTTAGTTCATCCCAACTATTAACAAATTATAGTATGAATTAATAGTCATATGGCTCAATAGGGGAAGTTCATCGATGCCAAACTAGGGGGAAGTCCATCATCATCATCATCATCATCATCATCATCATCCCTCTTCTTCTTGGATCTCCTTAACCCTCCAATAGCATACAAGACTTGCTTGAAATACCTGGAAATGGTCTTCATGGATCTCTTGAACGAGTTGTTACTCACTCTGAATCTCTGATTATGACCCACAACATGAAGGAACATTGCTACCTGCTCTTCAACAGAGGTCTGGATGCTATCTTGTAGCAGCCCCTGTATCTGAACGTCTCCACAAACATGCAAACGTTGCCCTTTGCATTTGAAGCATGTTTGCAACCTCTACGTCGTCGTGTTGTAGATTTAGTTTAGATTTGCTATACTCTCCCTATCTCAGATTGGCAATGGACCATAATGGATGACAGACTTATCACTCCGACGAACAACTCTCTTGTGGACCGACATGGCCTAGGGCTGAATCACAACAATGAATGGTACCGTCTGAACAACCAACTTGATTCGTTCGTCCATAACGACCTAATGGCGACATCGATGTTGCGGTAAGCAATGGTAAAATTGACACTAACCGTACATAACGACCTAACATCAGAAGGAGGTTTGTGTGCTGCTTACACCCTTTGGAGCAGACGACCTACCCATGGCGGAGATGAGGAGGACGAGATGGAGTCAAAGGCGAAGGGGAGAACCATATCCTCCTACCAAAGATTGAAGCCGCCACCGCTACTTCTGCAGATCTGAGTCGTTGCCGCCGCCGGTGCCAAGAACTGAGGTTGGGTTTGTTCTAGCGTTACAGGTGAGCGAGTAAATGTTTTTCTTTTAGGGGTGGGGTGATGCTAGATTCCGCATCCCACGCCGCTAGATTTTGGTCTTCCATCATCTCTGCGCCCCTTTCTCCCTGCAACACCGCATATGCTGGGTTTTTGGTCTTCCATCATCTCTGTTTGGTCTTCCATCATCTCTGTTTGGTTTGGCTGTGGATTTCTAAAAGCAGCTGTGAAAAATCTGCTGTGGAAAAACGGATGTGGAAAATCTGATGTGAAAAAGATTTAGGTCATTTGGCAAACCAGTTGATACAGCTTTTTCAGATTTTGGCCCGCAGCGGAATCAGATTTTGGAAAGCACGTCCTGGGCTGCTTCCGCTTTTGGTTCAGATTTTGGCAGCGGATTTCTAAAATCGGATTCTGCTGGATTTGCCCTTTGGTTCAGATTCTGCTGCGCGGCAGTGAAATCCGTCAATAAAAGCCGAACCAATCAGGGCCTTAGTGTGATAGAGAGACAAAATATAACATTCGGGACTTAATCATATCTACTCCCTAGGAATGGAGGGAGTAACAAATTTCTTTCGGGTTCTTCCGCAGGTTATTACTTCAACTACGATTTCATCCAATTTCCATGAAAACAAAAGGGTGAGAAATCTGCAATTATCCTCCTTTTAATTAATCGATCTTTCTATTCATGAACATCAGCTAAGCTTGAACCACGTCCAAACATCGATCTTCACACAAATCACACGGTTTGAGGAACATATCCTTTGGATTTCAATCGAATGGGGCAGGCACATTTGATAATTGAGGTAGCCAGCACTTCCATTTCCATGCGCGATATGGTCGCCTCCGATATGTGAGGAGCTTCAGCCGCGGGAGCATGCGGTGCACCGCACGAGGCCGTTCTCGTTGCACGCTGCGCAGACACGGAACCCCCTAGTCTTCTCGCTGAACCAGCGATGGCTGCCGCCGCACGCGACGCAGGGGGCGAACCGCGAGCCGCCGCAGGACGCGCACGGCGTGGGTGGAAGTTGCGGCGCCCCGGCCACGACGCGCCGGAGCTCCCCGCTCTCGTGCAGCGCGCGCACGTCATCCGCGTCTCCGACGAGCCGTCCGGCGACGAATAGCTGCGGCAGCGGCGGTTGGTCCCGCCGCATCAGCGCGCGGAGCTCGGTGAGGAACGCCGCGTCCATGGACACGTCCCGCTCGTCGACGCCGACACGGAGGCCGCGCAGGATGGCGCGCACGTCGCGGCAGGCCTCGAACGTGGGCCGCACGGCTCGTAGGGAGGTGAAGTAGAGCACGACACGCCGCTCGGCCGCCACCGCGGCCGCCGCTGCCTCCTCGGCCGCCGCGAACGACTTGCACGTCCGTAGCTTGGTCGACGACCGCACGCGGTGCAGGACGATCTTGCCTCCGCCGGCGGGGGGTGCCGCCGCATCGTCAAGGACGGAGCCGATGCCGCTGTGCTCTTTGGACGGCGACGTGGCAGACGAGGATAACGACGGGGAATGCGTGAGCCGCCCGGCGGCTGGCTTCCGCCGGCTCCACGACGACCACATCGCGGTGGTCGAAGGCTGGCGAGGTCGGCGGGTGTTTCTTGGTTCGCCTTGGAGGGGAAGGGGAGGAGAGAGCGCGGTGGAGAGGAAGTCTGGCGGGGTCGTGCGTGCCCGATCGTGCGCGCGCGCGCGTGTTGGCTTTGGTACCTAATTACTTGGCTGCCCGGCCATTGGCTTTGCTAAATTTAACCATGCCTTTTAACTGTCTCGAGTGTTTGTGTGGCGTCCATTTGCTCGGTGTTGGTTTTCTTTGGTCTGTTCTAGCTTCATCTCTTAATTTGGAAGCTGAATGGAGAGCGGCGATGGCACGTGGTGCACTAAGTGCATTTTTCTAGGGTCCGCTTACACATAAGTTGACTAAGATTTCTTTTATGTCCAAGGTGCTGTTGGCCGTAATATAAATAGTTAATTGATGGTGGGTGTTTTCCCCTAAATAATATGTGGTGAACATTATTTGAAATACTCGGTAAACTTTCTTCTAATACTCGATGAATAGTTTTTCAAATACACTGTGGGTATTTTTAATGCATGATAAGTATTTTATATGTACGAACATGTCGGAAATTGCTAATGGAGCTCAAGCTCCATGGAGCTTTAAATTTGAAAAGAAAAGAAAAAGTCAAAAACCAAAATTTAGGTTTAAAAAAAACTCTTAATCACACACACACACACACCTACAGATGTATACCACTTATCTGTAAAGTTTCATGGCAAAATACATTTTTATGCGAGCTACACAAAAATAACATAATCATTATCGTATATAAGAGTTTCAACCCATTATCATATGGGAAAAGCTCAAGAACAACCGGCTGATCCGATGGAGCGTCCGCCGCCTTCGGAGCGTGACGCATGTCCCATATGTGGCTCATGCACCGCACTATCCTAAGTACTTTGTTCTAAAAAAAATCTGCAATATCACCCGTGTTGCAAAAGTTCCTTTCACAACAACAGCTCTGATGCCAAAAAAGGGAGACGTAAAAAAAATTCTGCAACAAAACCTCTGTTGCAAAAAAAAAAATCTACAACAAGAGCTATGTTGCAAAAAAAATCTACAGCACAACCTTTCTTGCAAATGTTTTGCAACAAGACTTGTGTTGCGAAAGAGAACTTGCAACACGATCTCTGTTGCAAAAGTGAGGACAACGCTCAACCACAAAGTTATGCCGATCTGACGGCTCGCAACCCGTAACACGTCACTTATCATATTCAAAAATATTCCTAGATCTACAATTTTCAGTTTTGCCCATTTCTAGGGTTTGAAACTTTTACACAGGGAAGTTTCTCAAAAAATTCCCAAACAATTCTTGGATGGCTAAATGTAGTCAAATGTCCACCCTCCCAATTTTGAGCCACCAGATCATTCATTTGGTTTGGATTACTTCCTCTGTTTCACTACATGCAGAATCTGGTTTTGAAAATTTTGTGAAGCGAAGTTTTTCCAAATGCCACGAAATTTTTATCAGAGCTGCCTCCTGCAATGAAGCCCATCTAGTGCCATCCTCAGTGGTCAATTTGACCAAATCATTGCTCAAATCTATGCTTCCAGCATTCTGAACAGGGGGGCAGGAGCACTTTCTTTCTCTCTCCCTTATCTTCTTCTGATCCCCAGCACCAAGACTTGGTCAAAACCCACCCCTGGACAGTAGCAAACCCTCCTCATTCCTAGAATCGCTGAAATCGTCAGAGCACGCTCAACACTGCACTAATGGCACTGTTGATGCCATGCTACTAAACCCAACCATTCTAAGCCAAGCCGGTGTATCCAAACCATCCATCTGCACCCCTAGTGACTGTTGGGCAAAGTCCAAGCCTCTCCTCTTCTTCTTTGGACTGTTGGACGGCCATGACCCGAGCCGAGAGCGCCCGACGTGTGCAAGCCACAACTGTTGCTCTCTCCTTGCTCAGGTGCCATGCAACGCTCCCACGCACTCCCCTTAACCACCTGGCCATGCTCGTTTCCCTCCTCGCGCTCTCAGTCCACTACAAACACCACGACCGAGCCTCAGGCACGCTCCAGGGCGCGAATTGGAGCCCCTGGCCTCTCCTCCACTCCCATCCAGCTCCACCAACACCAACCGTCGCCCGCGCCTAAAAGCTTCTTGCCTAGCCCTCGGTAAGCTCAAGATCGAGCACGGCGGAGCCGCCTCGGGTCGCCGTCGAACCGGTTGTTTTCGGCCACCCCACGGCTCCCTCTCTCTCCCATTCTTCCTCTTTCGTCGAGGCGGAGCTCGTGCGATGTTTTCCCGCACGCCTTCGTGCCCGAGCCGTCAAATCCATCATCGTCTCCGTCGCCGCCGTTCGGGCCACCTCGCCGTTGTGGATTCCGGTGACCACCTCGACCACCACCTGACACGCGGAAGTTTCCCGAGTCCATTGGTGTCTGTACGGGGAGGATATGACCAGCGTCGATGCAGGCGACGCCTTGAGAAACGCTCCCCCCTCTCTGTCTCACTGGTAGGCTGGCCCCGCCTGCCAGGTTTAAACTGGTGCACGCGGCCCGTGCGGTCGACTAAGCTGGATCTGGCTGGTCGGCCCATCTAGCTCAGTTGGCTTCTCTGTTTTCTTTTTCAAGTGAACTAAAAATAATTCCCTAGGATTCAAATGAATTTCAAATGCAATGATTCAAATTTATGCATGTTTCCTAAATAACTATATATTATTTAGAAAGCCATACTGAACATTTTTGGTACGACCACATTCTGTCTGGTTCATTTAATAGATCATTTTAGCATATATGTCAACTTAAGTAAGTCCTAGAGTATTCATTTGAACTCCAAATCCAGTGAAACCAATTTATAAATGTTTCTGGAATCATTATTGATTTGATGAGTGCATTCACTCATTTTTATAAAAAGGCATCTTGTGGATTTCATGCAAGTCCATATTTCCTTTGATTCCAACAAAATGAAATGTTCAAAAATACCAATAGCTCTACAATAAATAAAGTCACTTTAGTCATTTTTCTCATGACCAGAGGGGTCCTCGAAAAGTTTCTCCTATATTTTTAGGACAATTCTATTTTTCTACCTTATTGTGTTGCTTATTGTGTTTCGTCCAACGTTAGATAACGAGGTAGACTAAGGACTTGGAGAAGGACCAGAAGCATTTGATGACTTTGCTGAGCCAGTCGAGCAACCTTTGACCATGTTGTTTCACCCAAGTTTCTGCTCATGATGTAGTTTATTTTCGAGTCAATTACACCACAGGTGCTAGAACTTGGCACAAATAATCACTTTAGTGCTAGAACTTGTGGTACACATGTAAGTGGTTCAAAAACTTGGCTTGACGGTGCAAATACGGTGTTGTATACGCTTGCTGCGTTGACTAGGTGTGTCAGCTCGGCGTGAGGCCCGCTGTCAGTGAGAAGAAGAAGAGGGCAGGGCGTGTGGTCTGCCTTTTTGCGAAAAGCCACTTGATAATTTTTTTCTCTCACGAAAAAGTTGCTCTAGAGAAATTGTACATAAAAGAAAAATGCTACTCCTCAGATTCAAACTCACGACCTACAGGTTACCCGTGCGGTTGGCTATCCAGCACACAGAGTCAGATTTGACAACACAGTAAGATATATAAGCTTTATATACTTTAGGCTGAACAATATAAATTAAGAACTTTAATCCCATAAGCAAAATATAACAAGTTAAATACCCAGGCATACCACCCCAACACAAGACGTCTCTTGTTTAAAAAGTATAATTACACTATGCATAATTCAAAAGGTTCATGTCATTTTAAATAGAATTAATGTGTTATTTTAAAACATATTCATACAATTTAAAATACTAATGAATTATAAAATATGCTTATATGATTTGAATAGTACACATCAGAATCTGCAATCCGATGGCACACTAGGCTCCTATTTATTTTTCATACATATTTTATATTTAATTTTAGTTACAAAATATGTAAAAAATTAGAAAACACATAAAATTTATTAAACACCTGAACTCTTTTAAACAACCTAAAATTTCCTTAAACCACGATCACTTTTATATACTACATGAATATGATATTGAAATCAGGAAACAATTAACATATATATGAATTTATTTAAATATAAAAAATTCTAGAAGTAATTTACTATTTTCTTAAAATGTGAACACGTTTTAAATCATAGTTTTTTTAAATTCATAAGTTAATTATATGGTTGTTAAATTTAGTACGGGGACATGTTTTGATGTTATATGAACTTCTATAATGTAATTTATTTTCTTTGTATGTATATTATTTATAACACGTAATTATAATTTACAAAAATTTAAAATGCAAAAAACTAAAACGTTGCAATTGTCCACACTGACTAGAATTCAGTTTAGCCACACGATCGTTTTGTGTTATAGTCATAAAATTTAATTATATGGATTTTTGTTAAATTAGTACCTGGATATGTTTCGATGTTATATGAACATTTTCAATGTAGTTTATTTTATTTATATGTATATTATTTATAACGCATGATTATAGTTTACATATTTTTTACAAAATTTAAAAATGTGAAAAATTAAAATGTTGAAAATGGTTGCGCCGAATGCAATTCAGTTTAGTCACACGATCGCGGTGTGTTATATTCATAAATTGTAATTTACATCAAAATAAGTTGCCTTGTCGGTTGTGGTGCAATGCCCGGGCACTTATTTACCTGATGAGGTTCCTGGTTTGAATGACCGATCATGCACTGATTTTTGGGACTAAAAAATGCACTGATTTTTTCCGCAAAATAATGCACTGATTTTTGGGATTAAAATTGTTCACGAACTCTGCAGGTCACATGTTCAAACCTCTGGCGGACCATTTTACTTTCTGTACTTTTTTCTGAGATAAAAAATATATCAGGGGCTTTTCGCAAAATAAAAAGGCCACACACCCAGCCCTACCCTTTCAGCCACTCAAAGTGGGCTCCTCGCCATGCTGGAACGCCAAGTCAGAGCTGCAGGAGTATACAACATCGTATTTGCACGGTCAAGCCAAGTTCTTGAACCACTTATATGTACACCGCAAGT